GCATCAAGAGAGCTTTGCAGGTTGCACCCCGCCCAGTTGCCGGTGCCCTTCGACCAATTGTGCGTTGTCCTACTTTTAAATACAACACCAAGATAAGGGCAGGACGAGGCTTCACATTAGAGGAACTGAAGGTGGGTTTTGTTATATGGCTAATCAGTCAAACAAAAGCAATTGCCTTCACTTTTAGAGGACATTGCATTGAGCAGAAATTGTAATATGTATACCTGTTATCGACATTTCGCCACCACGACATTGCTAACCTTAGAAATGTCTGGATTACATTTCAAATTTGGCTTGGCATTTCCATTTTTTCAATAAAACATGAATTCTACATCAGGCCAGTGGCACATTCAGCCAGATCTTATCTCTGTTTCTGTAGCAAGAAGAGACTAGGTGTATTTCTATTCCTCCCAGGTGGGTTCCAGTTCATTTCTGGCTTACCCCTAGTAATAAATTTGCTGGAACCCAGTTATTCACCTGGGTGGAGAGAGGCACTGTGAGAGTAAAGTGTCTTGTCCAAGAACACAACATAATGACCCGCACCAGGGCTCCAACCTCAACTGCCTGATCTAGAGACCAGTGGGCTAACCATTAGTCCGCTGTGCCTCCAACCATCTGGGCAATGCCTGACTGTTGTTTGCATTGAATTGCCAAATAAAACAAGATCATAACAGTAACCACACACATGCATGATGTTGTCAATGAATGCATCTACCAGCATTCAGTAGGATTAAATTTATCATGAGAAAAAGAAAAAGTGAAAGTTTCTTGTAGCTGCAGCCAAATGATGCCATCATGCCAGGGGAGCATCAGTCTTACCTAAACCATCATTTCTGCAAATGAGTTTAGTTACCTTAGGACTTAGAAAATTGCATATTGAGGTTTTTTCTCTTTTTTTTTTTTTTTTCATTCTAGGCTGCAGGCATCTCACGAAAAGTTGCTCCAACCATTGGTATTTCAGTTGACCACAGGAGAAAGAACAGGTCTGCAGAATCCCTTCAGGCTAATGTTCAAAGACTTAAAGAGTACAAGAGCAAGTTGATTGTCTTCCCAAGGAAGGCAAGCAAGCCCAAACAGGGAGACAGTGAGGTAATTAATGTCAAAAGAAGTGCATGTTGTTCCAGACACAGTAATTGCCACTTCACATACTTTCTGATTACCTCTTTGTCTAGAGTTCAGTACCTTCTTTTGATTTGAACTACAAGCAATTAGAATCTATGCAAGTATGGTTGACACAGTTGGTGTCGATGTTACTGGTTCAAAGTATGTTATCTGCAGTCCTACTCTGCTTTAAGCCTTTGATTTTCATTGGAGCAAAATGCTCCAGAAAGGTGCCAAACTCAGCAAAAATATGAATGTCCAAAAACTTTATCATGTGGCTTTATCACGTGGCTACTGCTGTCATGGCATGTTTTGCTGTCAAGTGCAACTGGAGAAAGTCAAAAGAAGTATAATCTAAATCTCTAACTGAAATCAGTCATATTTTAGTTTAATAATGGTGTGATTTTAGCAAATTACAGGTACTCATTCTACCATACATGTAGTAAATGGCTTATAATTTTGAGGATGGAATTTTATTTTACCTAGTTTGAAGTTTCACTTTGATTCCTTGCATATTCTTAACTGTGAAAACCACCAATAAGTAAAATTCCTTTAAGAACTGAATTGTCAAGTAGTTCAGTGGCTAGAGCTATTAGTTAGTAGCTCAGTGATTAGAACGCCCGACTGATGTCAGGGATCCAGATTTTTATCTTTGGCCCATGCTTGTGATCAAATTGAACATCTCATCTTTATCACTGAATTCCACTGTTTAGAGGTCACACAAAGGAAAGAGTTCACAAACATACTTACCTATAAATGAATTTCTCCCAAATTTCAGCCTGCTGAGCTGGCCAATGCAGTACAACTCCAGGGTGCAGTTATGCCCATCCAACAGTCACGTCTACCCATCAAGGCTCGCAAGATCACTGATGAGGAAAAGAATACTAGTGTATTCCGTAGCATGCGTATTGCACGTGCTAATGCCAGGTTGATTGGCATCCGAGAGAAGAGGGCCAGGGAGAAGGCTGAGCAAGATGCTCTTAAGAAAAAATAATCTGTGAATAAATGTTGAAATTCATTTGTTGCAGATCAGTGTTTTTAATCGGCATTTTGAACTACTGTCCTGATTTGGTTTAGCACCNAGGAAGGCAAGCAAGCCCAAACAGGGAGACAGTGAGGTAATTAATGTCAAAAGAAGTGCGTGTTGTTCCAGACACAGTAATTGCCACTTCACATACTTTCTGATTGTCTCTTTGTCTAGAGTTCAGTACCTTCTTTTGATTTGAACTACAAGCAATCAGAATCTCTGCAAGTATGGTTGACACAGTTGGTGTCGATGTTACTGGTTCAAAACATGTTATCTGCAGTCCTACTCTGCTTTAAGCCTTCGATTTTTATTGGAGCAAAATGCTCCAGAAAGATGCCAAACTCAGCAAAAATATGAATGTCCAAAAACTTTATCATGTGGCTTTATCATGTGGCTACTGCTGTCATGGCATGTTTTGCTGTCAAGTGCAACTGGAGAAAGTCAAAGGAAGTCTAATCTAAATCTCTAACTGAAATCAGTCATATTTTAGTTTAATAATGGTGTGATTTTAGCAAATTACAGGTACCCATTCTACCATACATGTAGTAAATGGCTTATGATTTTGAGGATGGAATTATATTTTACCTAGTTTGAAGTTTCACTTTGATTCCTTGCATATTCTTAACAGTGAAAACCACCAATGAGTAAAATTCCGTTAAGAACTGAATTGTCAAGTAGTTCGGTGGCTAGAGCTAGTAGTTAGTAGCTCAGTGATTAGAATGCCCAACTGATGTCAGGGATCCAGATTTTTATCTTTGGCCCATGCTTGTGAAAATGAACATTTCATCTTTATCACTGAATTCCACTGTTTAGAGGTCACACACAGGGAAGAGTTCACAAAGATACTTACCTATAAATGTATTTCTCCCAAATTTCAGCCTGCTGAGCTGGCCAATGCAGTACAACTCCAGGGTGCAGTTATGCCCATCCAACAGTCACGTCTACCCATCAAGGCTCGCAAGATCACTGATGAGGAAAAGAATACTAGTGTATTCCGTAGCATGCGTATTGCACGTGCTAATGCCAGGTTGATTGGCATCCGAGAGAAGAGGGCCAGGGAGAAGGCTGAGCAAGATGCTCTTAAGAAAAAATAATCTGTGAATAAATGTTGAAATTCATTTGTTGCAGATC